GGGGGGGGGGGGTGTTACAAAATCTCATTTTTGTTTAGCAAAAAGCATAAAAGCACAGGTTTAAAAAAAGAGAGATTGGAAGTATATTCAACAAAATGTTACTATGAATATATCTAATGACAAGATTACCTTTAACTTCTGTATGCTTTCCTGTATAATAATAGCCAACAGTTCTATTGTCCAGCACTTACCTAAACACTTTGTGTATGTTAACTTATCTAATCCTCACAATGACCCACTGTGGAGATTGTATCAGTATCACAGTGCCTATTTTACAGATGAAGAGCCTAAGACACAGGGAAGCGTAATAACATACCCAAAGTTACACATCAAGTAGAAGGCAGATCCTCAATTTGAATCTAAACTCCATGCTCCTAACTACTAGTCTCCTTTCTAAGTCAACTGATTTGTCTGGGGCCAGAGTGTGATGTTTGGTAAATGGACTATGTCATTGGCTTTAAACCTTTTTTTTAAAAAAATCATTAAAACTTTTTTTATTGCAAATGTAATATACTCCAGAAGTATATAGAATAAAAGATGAAATTCATTCTGCTGGGATCCCAGTATCATACTCAGAGGTAACCATTATTGGCAGTTTGGTGTTTATCCTTCCAGATCTTTCTTTTATATGCATTTACATACCTAAACACACACTATGTGTGTATGTATATGGGTATACCCTGTATATGCATATGTATGTATACTTTTTCACATATATGAAATCATACCTTACACTTGTTAGTTGGTGACACTTTTGCAGGCTTTGGAGATCTTACCATGTCAATCCACTCAGATCTGCCTCCTCCTTTGTTGTGATTTATCAGCCTCTGCAAAATAGAATGAGTCCCAGAAATACCCTCAGGGTTTGGGCTTCCTTTGAGTGGACAAGGTGGGAGCAAAGGGCCCCCAGAGAGAGTTTAAGGTGAAACATGGTCATGAGAGATGTAAAAAGATTACCCAAAAATATTTGTAACAGGTTGTATTTGTTTTCTAAGATTGCTGTAACGAAGTACCACAAATTAGGTGGCTTAAAACAACAGAAACTTATTCTCACAGGTCTGAAGGCAAGAAGTCCAAAATCAAGGTTTTGGCAAGGCCACATTCCCTTGGAAGTTTCTAAGGAAAAATCCTTCCTTGCCTCTTCCATCTTCTAGTGGCTCCCAGCAATCCTTGGTGGCCTTCTCCCTGTGTGTGTCTTTGTGCATCTATCCTTTTCTTATAAAGATACCAGTGATTGAATTTAGGGCCCACTCAAATCCAGTTTGACCTTCTCTTAATTTAAATAATCACATCTGCAAAGACCCTATTTCCAAATAAGGTCACATTCTAAGGTTCCAGGTGGACATGAATTTTAGGGGGATCCTATTGAACCTACTGCACAGGCCTACATTTTCCACTTGAATAAAAGTGCCATTAATATTCAAACATCAAAAGGTATATTATTCTGTTTAGAACATATACATCGAATCCACTAGGTTTTGAGGGACTTTGAATGGAGAAATCCAATACACAGTCACAAAATGCCACATAATTTTTTTTTTTTTCATTTTAGCTGTGAAAATGCATTTTTGTCTCATGGTCAGGGATGTAGACCATCAGAATTTTAAATAGGGGGATCATAATTTAAAGGACTCCCCCCACATTTTTACCACATAATGGAAGCATATATATTGCTATATCTTTACAATTTTGCTTCAATCATGATCAGCATGCACAGCAGAGACAGGAATAAGATTATTTAAGAAGCTAACCAAATGAATTCCAAGTTAAATTGTTATTCCTCCAATCTCCCTTATCCTGGGGGAAGAAAACAGGATTGTTTCAAGTCCCCACCCAGCATTCTCATCTCATCCTTGATAAGAAAACTTATAGCCCCTTTAGCACTTTGGGTGAGGGGCAGCTCATTACCTCCTGAGACAAAACACCTCATTTCAGGACAATTTCATCTCCAAAACTTTCCTTAATATAGGTCCTATCATCTCTGTGTTTCAAACTAGAACATGAAGGCACAGAGAAGTATGCATATTATTCAGATGTATGGGAAAAGATTGGAAGGACATATGTACAGGGTGGGCAAAAGTAGGTTTACAGTTGAATACAAGAAACGGTTAATTCTTGTATTATTATTTGTTAATTATTGTTATCTATTTGTATTACAACTGTAAACTTACTTTTGCCCACTCCTGTATATCAAAGGTTTTGTATGATTTTCCACATCTTCCTAAAATGTTACAAGTACAAATGAATTAATTTTTTTAAAAACTATAATTATGGGTCCTTCAGTTCAAGGTCACAGAGAAAGTGACAGAACCAAGGTTGGAACCCATTGCTAGACAACCTCCAGTGGGAATAAAATTTCTGGACTCTCTCCTAGTGATCCTGAGCTAGACTCTATTGTCCTTTCAGGTCTCCAGGCTCCTCTCTCTCCAGCTGGGCCCTCACCTCCAGCTTCCGCCTTCATCTCAGACTAGGACCCCGCAGAGGAGGGCTTGATCCGAATGGGCCCCGGGGCCCGGGGCCTTGAACGAGGCTTGCACAGAGGCACCCTCTGCCAGCCTCCCCCCAGCCTGGTCCTTGAGGGCAGCCGCCATTGCATTCATATCTGTGTTCCAGGGTCTAACACTTGATGAATTATTGGGGGAAGGATACTCAGCACTAGCTGCCTCATTTGGTGGGGGAAACGCTTCAGTGACAATGAAGACCCCCCTCCGCCTCGGTTGTGCACTGCACTCCGGTAGGCACTGAACACAGGGAATGATTATTACCCTTATCAGTGCTACAGTCACAGTGGATGAAAGTGAGACACCACGCGCGCTCCAGGCCAGTGATTTCCACAGGGGCCCTAAGCGCAAGCAGCGGGTGACGCCGCAGTTGACCGCCAGCAGGGGGTGGGAGCAGAGAGATGAGGGCGTGTTCCCGTTGGTGCAGCAAGAACTGTCACGTGGCCCAGTTCAACAAGGGGGGAGGGGGTGCCCTCTGTCCCTCCCCTTCTACCTCCGGACGCACTCCGGCGCTCACCGCGTCCTCAGGCGCTCCGGGCTTCCCCGAGTCACCTGGCGCCCGGGCGTCCCTGGCGCCGCGGCCATTCATTCTCCCCCAGGGCGCGCGGCGCGGGCGCGGCGGACGCTTTGAACCCGAGTTTAGGCGCCAGCGTTAGGGCTGGGGGTGCGCGTCGGCCCAGGTGCTGAGACCTCTCTACGAAGACGAAGATACACGGAAACTAGGGAGATGGAGACAGTGGCACATAGGTACAGGGGCCAAGCTTGGAGACAGAAGAGCAGACATTTAAGACAGACGTAGACAGAGACCGTAATACAAAGAGAGGTGGGTCCCTGAGACATACAGACAACACGTTATAGACTGACATACAGATAGGCAGAGGCAGACACAGAGGAGCAGTCCGAGAACACAGACTTCAGGTGAACACTGTAAAACTCGGAGAGCAACCCGAATACAAAAGCGCGCCAACGGCGAGGGTACCACCCACCGGTCTGAGCCATTCCCCAGGCCTCCGGGTTCACCAAGTCCCGCGGATTCGCTAAGTCCCGCACACCTCGCCCGATCCTCCCCACGCCGCGTTTCCAGTGTTGCGCCCCAAATCGAAGGCCAGCCCGGCTCCCACTCTCCGGCCCTGCCTGCCCTCCAGTTCCCAGTCCCACTTGCTCGGCTCTCAGGCTCCTTGGCAGGCCTCCCGCCCTCGGGTGCGCGGCACGCTCCAGCCACTCCCTGCCAGATCCCGCACGGGTCGGCCAGTGTCCCTTCGCCGCCCCCCCTCCCACAG